TATATTTGTAATTACACATTTGTAATTATGAAGTAATTTAGTACACTTGAAATGTATTAACTTTAAAATGTAATCTGAAATAACACACTACAGTTAGAATTATAACAAGTACTTTAAATGTGTAACATGTCAGCACATCAAATTAAGTGCATGAATAAGATTAAACTAAAGATTTAAAATGTACTAAATTCAACATTTATACAGTATTTGTTAAAAAATACTAAAGGGCATAGTCATAAAAGTATCTCTGGAAGTAAGTCGCCTTTTGTTTCATTTAATTTAATATTATGTTAATTGTAAGTACACTTTTTTGTAAATATATTTGAGATATGAAGTACACTACAAGTGAATATACACTTCTTTTTCACAAGGGTTGGTATGTTCTTTCTTTCTTTCTTTCTTTCTTATTTTATTTATATAGCACATTTAAACACAACTTATTGACCCAAAGTGCTTTACATAGCAAAGTAAACAACAAGACAGCAAAACTAAGTTATAAACTAATAATACTGATCCCAGTAGATAAATACAAAAACACTTCATTGACTTGCCGCAAATCGATCAAGGAGATGAGATTTAAGCATAACTTTAAAAATAGATAGAGAAGAAGTTGTTCGGATGGCAACCGGAAGATTGTTCCAGAGTACAGAACCAACAATTACAAAGGCTCGATCGTCACAGTGTTTTAATCTGGACCTAGGAATTGATAAAGTTCCTAAAAATCTGGATCTGAGTGGTCTCACTGATTTGTGTGTTTGCAACAACTCAGTGAGGTAAGTTGGTGGGAGATTATGAAGTGCTTTAAAAACCAATGTTAAATTTTTGTATTCCACCTTAAGTTTAACAGGTAGCCACTGTAATGTGGTCAGAGTGGGAGTAATGTGCTGAAATTTGCACGTGCCAGTCAATAGCCTGGCTGCTGCATTTTGAACCAATTGCAGTCACTCCATGGAGGACTGATTTATCCCATAGTACAGCGAGTTGCAATAGTCTAATCTAGATGTTACAAATGCACGAATTGTTTTTTCGAATGTCTGTGTTGAAAGGAGAGTTTTAACTTTAGCCAAACGTCGAAGATGAAAAAAGCATGACCTAACCACACTGTTTATCTGTTTATCAAACTTTAGACTGGAATCAAATAAGACACCCAGGTTCCTTACACAAGGAGTAATCCACTGGGCAAAATAACCAATATCGAGATTATAAGAATTAAAAGATAGGGCATCACTAGGTCCAAACAGAATCACCTCGGTTTTACCTTCATTAAGTGTCAAGAAGTTACTCATAAGCCATGATTTAAGTTCCTCAATACATACACACAACTTTGCTAATGCATTTTTATCCCCAGGTTTAAAAGAAAGATACAATTGTGTATCATCAGCATATAAGTGAAAAGAAATACCATATTTCTTGAAAATAGAACCCAGCGGCAGCATATAGATCATGAATAAAGTTGGGGCAAGAATGGAGCCCTGAGGGACACCACAAGTCAGAGGAGCACTGGAAGAAGTATATTGTCCTGTACGTACAGAGACTTTTCGGTTCGTTAAGAAGCTCTGGAACCAATTTAAAACAGTATCTCTCAGACCAACACAGTTTTTTAAACGAGAAAGTAATAAATTGTGATCAACCAAATCAAAAGCTGAGCTTAGGTCTAGTAAGATCAAAGCTACAGCATTTCCAGCATCTGTTGACATTAAAATATCATTATAAACTTTTAAGAGAGCTGTTTCTGTACTATGTAATTTCCTGAAACCAGATTGAAACGTTTCATAGATTTGGTTAGATCTCAAAAAGACTTGTAGCTGAACTAGAACAACTTTCTCCAAAATTTTGAAGATAAAAGGTAAATTGGAAACAGGTCTGAAGTTAGAAAATATCGATGTGTCTGAATTTGGCTTTTTTTTTTTTATTGGCGTTATTAAGGCACATTTCAGACCATCTGGAACTATTCCAGTACTCAGACTCAGATTAACTAAATTTAACACATCAGAACCAACAATGTGTACAACCTGCTTTAAAAAGCGAGCTGGCATAACATCATAAGGACACCTAGTGGGTCTCAAATGCTCGATGGCATCTTTACAGGCAGAAATAGTAACAGGTTGAAAATTAGACCATGTTGCAGAGCTCCATGGTCTCTCGATGATATCAGAGACAGATTGCGAAATTTGAGGTCTCAACCTATCTACCTTCTCCACAAAAAGTGTTCACACAGTGTTTCAGACGCATCAATAAAAACATCTACTGCTGGGTTAAGGACATAATCGATTGTGGAAAAAATAGTTATTGGGCAATGGGAGTTGTTATTAATAATTTCAGACAGATACTTAGATTTTGCTGACTTCACAGCTTTCTGGAAATTAGAGAGAGAGTACCTTAAAAGATCATAGGAAATCTGCAGTTTATCCTTGAGCCATTTCCGTTCATATCTCCTGCATATTTGTCGGAGTGAACGAATTGAGTCATTAAACCATGGTTCAGATTTTTTTCCTCTTCCTCTCCAGGAAGTTTTTAATTCATTATTTAATGTCCTGTTTTTTTAGGATGTGTCAGTACAGGAAAGAAAACATTTGTCAAGCCCTCAACTTCAATATGAGGAAACTTATTTTTGCACATGATAATGTTAGCCGCTCTAATATACTTTTCAATAGATTTCATTGTACTGAAGACGTCGCTGCATCCAAAGTGCTTTTGAGCCCCTCACTAACATGTGGAGCCAAACAGAGGATCATTTATTAACCAGACACAACACACGGTCTCATGGGACACACTAATCAATAATGCTTTACCTGGCAGGACAGACAACAGCCATTTATGCTTTCAGCAGGCTAAAGTGCTCTGAATCTACTGAGAGATCACTCTTACCGGAACTACAGAGACATTGTAGCTGAATTTTTGAACTTGAATTTTTCAAAATCATTATAGATTAAAATAACCCCATTTCAAGTCATTGTGTAATCAGAATACAATAATGACATAATATCCTTGGACAGAATACACGTGGTTAAAAACACACGTCGCAATGACAAATATTAAAAAAATATAATAAAATAAATAAAAAATAATAAAGTATTTATTCTACACATGGTCTGTATTTTTCCTAATACTTTATTTATTTATTTATTTATTTATTTATAAACACATACGCCACAATGACAAATATTTAAAATATATAATAAAATAAATAGAAAATAACAAAATTTTTATTCTACAGCTGGTCTGTATTTTTCCTAATACTTGTTCGTTCATTCATTCATTCATTTTTACAGTGTACTTCTCTAGTATTCTATTGAGTTGAGTTTTTAAAGATATTGTTTGTCCGCTCGAGTAACACCCTTTGCCTAAAGGAGTCGCACTATTTCTGGCAGGGAAAGAGCCACTAGGAAACGGTCTGAGCAGTGAATGATGGTTGCTCTTACCCAGGAATGGCATCTGAGAGGCGGTATTTAAATTAGCCCAGCGGTTCCTCTTGCAGGAGCTGAGAATAGATGAGCTCGGTTGGGTGATGAAGGTTTATGACCTCCAGTGAACTCAAGGTCATCACTCTGAAAACATGAGCAGTAAAACCAATTTTTATGCGCATTTTGGAATATGGCATAAAAAAAGGCCGAATGGAAACACTTAAGATGTGCATAAATTCTAAAAATGCACATAAAAAACGCATGTGCTCAACTGAGTTGGGTGATTTTTTTATCCAATGAGAAAACATGAACATGAACTAGATGGAAACACATTTACTGAATAAATTCCTCAATGCACATTAAAAAAGTAATGTGACTTTACGCAGTGGGACGACATAACATGACTGAAAGCAAGATAAAACATGACTGCATTTATTGCATGCTCTGAGGCGCAAGTAATTCATTTTCTATGAAAAAAGACCCACAGTAACTTCTCCTACTGCAGCAAAATACCTTTTTCTTAGTGATATTTGGCGCCAATTGATCAGTAAGTGACTATTTTGTTCTCTTTGTCTCGCTGGATGGAAACAGTGCTTTATTTGTATGCCATATTCCAATTTTGTGCATACTGTTAAGTTAAATTCGCAATTTGATTGGAAACATAGCTAGTGAGGTTGCGAAGACAAGGAGAGTTGGTAAATGTACTATGATGAGAACAGACAACAAAGAACTGAACAAAACTAGCAGTATAAATACACAAGACAAATGAGGGAGAAAATGAGGAACAAGAGGGGCTTGACTGATTAACACTGAACCAAAAGTAGAAAACACAGACTTGTGTTTTCCAAAAGCATAGTTAGACAACTATGGTCGCAGGTTATATTGTTACCAACATAGTTCAATGATTTAGTATTTCCTGAATACAAAGTTCCAAGAACATTTGAAAAAAAAAAAACCATCGCAAAGTTGTGTGGTTGAACTACAGCTCTCAAACCATGGCTAGAAGTGTAGTTTCTTGTTAGTATGACATGTGGACTTAAATAGATCATGCACTTGAGCAAAATAAGCACGCTAACATGTAGTGCATATACACATTTCATTCTATGTCTTTTAGTTTGTTAATAGAATTAAAGCGCATATGCGTTCCTGCTCTAGTACCACTGGGAAACCCTGTAGTGATGTAAGAAAACCTGCAAAATAACAGCAAACAAAAATAGGGAAGCAGTCCTCAGGTGACATGTATGTAATTTACATCAACAACAATCTTCAAAAGCATTAAGTTAAGTTACCCAATCATTATTGATTGTAATAGTCATGTATGCTATTCATATAGTAGTGAAAGATATTTCAAAAATACCATAGTATTAGCATGCAGAAACAAAAAAACAAACAAAAAAAATGAAAGAAAGAAAGGAAACAAGGCATTACCATTATACCATGTCCAAAAAAATCATGTAATGTTTTGTCATAGTCCAATGATTTCAGGTTCATTCAGTCATGTTAAATCATATATTTATATATTACAGTTTATACTGTTAGCCTACTGCTTGTTTTGAAAGTGAATCCATGCTTATAATTGTTGTCTTTTTGTTGTAGATGGACCTGAAGCTACTTTTCATAACATTATTAGGGATCATTTGTTGCAGCAGCGCACAGCAAGGTAATGTGATGAACTCTCAGATCACTGTTGTTTCTAATGCTAATTCAGTGTATTTCTGTCCAGTGTACTGTAACTCTGTCCGACTGCTTCAGAATTAATAAGCGCTGGGTTTCTGTGAGGATAACTAATCGTTCTCTCTCCAGAGCGAGCGGTTAAATACTGATGTCATTACTCAGAGCACACTCCACCCAGCGCGGTCGGAGCATTATCCTTAATGGAAAACATAGAGTAGTCATCTCTGGCTCCAATTACAGCGAGCCGGAGTGATGGAAATGAATCGAAGCTGTAGATGTGAAATGCTCTCCGTCTCTTCTGTTCTGCAGAGGGCAACGAGTGCATCAAAGCCAACGCTTTATCCTGTGGCGAGTGCATACAAGTGGGGGCTAAATGTGGATGGTGCACTGATACAGTGAGTAGCATTCAAACACCACGGTTATTCTGTTCTTTAACCCTTCAAACACATTTACTGACACAATATATCAATGCAGAATTACATTCACATTCATGCTGACTAATCAGAGCTGCACTGATACATGATTATAAGTCTGATATTGTTTTTATACAACATTTCACTAAACAGGAGGTTAATATTAAGTAACCTGCCGGTGCTACAGAACCAAACAGACATAATGCCAAACAAAATGACTCAAACTAAGACATCAGATATTAATAGGTATGGCAGATTTGCCAGGAAACAGTAATAATGACGGATGAATGCTGTCATGCATTAATGCTAGGAAACCTCATTCCAACTGCTTCTGCATGGAAACAAAACTGTTTTTTTTGTATTTTATTTTTTTTAAGTTAACGTTAATTTTATTTCAAGTAACGGAAATTGTTGTTCATGGTTTTCATTTTAATTGCAGTTTTAGTTAACTATAATAATCCTGCAAATTAGTACTGCAGGTACCAGGGTACAGAGAGGATAATATTAATATTGTCTTGTTAACTATGTTAATAAATAACTAAATTCATTTTACAGTTTTAAGTGTATTCCATGACTGAATTTTAAATATCAAGTTGTCATAACACAGTTATTTCTTTAGATTAATTAACTCTTAAGATGATATTATTTTCTAAAATGTTGTCTTTTTAGACATTCTCAGAAAAAAAAAATGTGCAAAAATTGTTCCTGTAATTTTTTGCAAAAAAACCCCCATTTCTGACAGTTCATGGCTTTTAATTTTATAGGATGCACTTCATTTCTTTATTGCTTTCTACGAGAAATGTACACAACCATTCACTTTTTTAAAAAGACATTCATCATTTTATTCAGCAAGGACAAGTTTCCACAAAACTATTGTGCAGCTCAACTGTTTTCAACATTGATAATAATCAGAACTGTTTCTTGAGCAGTAAATCAGCATATTAGAATGATTTCTGAAGATCATGTGACACTGAAGACTGGAGTAATGATGCTGAAAATACAGCTTTGATCACAGAAATATATTACAGTTTAATAGATATTCACTTAGAAAACAGCTGTTTGAAATAGCAATAATATTTCACAATATTACAGTAATAAAAAAGAAACCAAGGTAGTTCACCACAAACAGATGTTAAAGGAAACAAGAAACATGACAAAAGTAGCAATTAAATACATTTTTTTAAAGAACTACAACTTAAAGATCAGATTGTTAATTGATAGAATTTTTTTTATATAATTTTTATATTATCGTTTTTACAATGGATCGGTGTTATTCACTGCTTCATCAACATCTTCATGTAATCTGACATGCTTAATTCACAAGCAGTAACAGCTGTTATATCTACTGTCCAGCAGGAGTTTCTGAAGCAGGGCGAGCCGACGTCGGCGCGCTGTGATGAGCTGGAGTCGCTCAGAAAGAGAGGCTGCGCCGCCGCCAAGATCGAGAACCCTCACGGGAGCCAAAGGATCCTCAAGAACAAAGCCGTGACCAACCGCAAGAAAGGAGCAGAGAAACTCCAACCCGAGGACATTACACAGATCCAGCCTCAGAAACTCAGCCTCAACCTCAGATCCGGTGCAAGCTCACAATCTGAAGTCCTTGTTGGCTTTTATTGATCTGTGCGAGTCATTTTGGGAATACTAATGGATTTGTTTGTGTTATTCCTGTAGGTGAACCTCAGAATATCAAACTGAAGTTCAAGAGGGCTGAAGACTATCCCATAGACCTGTACTATCTGATGGACCTGTCCTACTCCATGAAGGATGACTTGGAGAACGTCAAGAACCTAGGGACTAGTCTGATGAAGGAAATGTCCAAGATCACCTCAGATTTCAGAATAGGTGAGTCTTATCAAATCAAAACAAAACACTTGGCTCGATACATGTTTTACACACACACACACGCACGCGCACGCGCGCACACACACATATATATATATATATATTAAGTCTAAGTCTATAAAAGCTTTTAAGGATATATTTTATATAAAATGTTTGAATGTTAATTTACACAAACCACATACATATTTCCATTAAAAATTTCTTATTTTTAAATGTAATGAAAGTTTATGTTTATGGTTCTCTGATGCTGGTTAATGGTCAAATGACAACAAGTGTTTTATCATGTATAATTATATAATTGATTATTTAAATTATTATTTATTTAAAGTATAGGGCACAATTTGGTCATAAAATATATTGTGATTATTTTGGCATATATTGTGATTACAATTTGAACTGCAATATGATAAGCATTTCTCACATCTCATAAGAAAATGTGTCCCTGGAGCACAAAACCAGTCTTAAGTCGCTGGGGTATATTTGTAGCAATAGCTAAAAATACATTGTATGGGTCAAAATTATTGATTTTTCTTTTATGCTAAAAATCATTAGGATATAAAGTAAAGATCATGTTCCATTAAGATATTTTGTAAGTTTCCTACCGTAAATATATCAGAACTTAATTTTTGATTAGTAATATGCATTGCTAAGAACTTCATTTGGACAACTTTAAAGATGATTTTCTCAATATTTTTATTTTTTTGCACCCTCAGATTCCAGATTTTCAAATAGTTGTATCTCGGTCAAATATTGTGCTATCCTAACAAACCAAAATACATAAATGGAAAGCTTATATATTCAGCTTTCAGTTGTTATATATAAATCTCAATTTCGAAAAATTGACACTTAAGACTGGTTTTGTGCTCCAGGGTCACAAATGTCTTATGCTGTTGTAGAAACATCCATACTAAAAGAGCAAAGAGACCACTTAAGTGACAATAGTAATAACATTTTATAATTAATATAAAATTTAATTAAATTATATAATTTAATAATTTTACTAATTATTAAAAAAAATGAAGACAGATATACAGTATGTTATTGTAATACAATTGTATTTTAGAAAATGAATATTAGATCATTACAATAATTTTATTTTTCACAACATGTTACAATGCTAAATTATTCACTTTCGAATGTTAAACCCCTTTTGGCGGAAAACTGCAGGGAGGCCTTTAAGTGTGTGTTTAGTTAGTAAGACAACTGCTGATAAACACCTCTTATTACTGAGAAAATGCTGAAAGCCTGTGAAACAGAGTAAATGAACACAAGTCAGCTTTTTATGGACTCATTTTAACAAATTTTCATGAAACCTGCTACGAAAACCTTGACTTAGAATTAGTGTTGTCAAATGATTAATCGCGATTAATCGCATCCAAAATAAAAGTTTTTGTTTACATAATATATGTGTGTGTACTGTGTATATTTATTATGTATATATAAATACAAACACATGCATGTATAGTTTTAAGAAAAATATGTTATGGTTATATATTAAATATATTTATATATAATATAAAATATAAGAATATGAATATATAAATGTGTAAATATTTTCAAAATATATACTGTATGTGTATATGGTTATATATACATAATAAATATACACAATACACATATATTATGTAAATAAAAACTTATGTT